AGAGAAGGTAAATGATTAGTGGGAAAGAACTGGGTGTTTCAGAATGAAATAGACTGACAATTTGTTTGTTGCAGAAGTAGCACTAACTATTAGGTGCTTTCATTCTTCCTGTGGTTTAGTTAGGGAGCCTTGGTGGTGCAGTGGTTAAGTGTTCGACTGCTAACTGAAAGGTCAACGCTTCGAACCCACCAGCTGCTCTGTGGGAGAAAGATGTGGCAGTCTGCTTCAGTAAAAATTACAGCCTTGGAAACCCTATGGGGCAGCTCTACCCTGTCCTATGGGGTCGCTATGAGTCGAAATTGACTGGAAAGCAATGGGTTTGGGTTTTTTTTTTGGGGTGGTTTAGCTTAACACTAAAGTTCCCCATCCAGTTTAGAGTTTTAACAGCTAAGATAACTCAACTGGGGAGGCAAATAATTGTTAATTTTTTTAACATTTAAGTGTTTGCTTTGTTCATGTGCTATGCAAGACAATGGAATACAGCTTTTGTCCTTAAAGCACTTATATTCTATAGTTCAATTTAGTCTTTGTGCATTAAACACCCAAATACTCTACCTCATCTGTGATTTCAATGGCTAGCGCTTTTATGTAAAATGCTCCTTTTAGGGTTGTCTTTATACATAAATACCACATGTGTACTGCAAAACATTCGTATAATATAAAAGCAAATAAAGTCAAATATCTCAATTTCCCCTCCTCCTCTACATCCTAGCTCAGCCCCCGTGCCATTACCCACTTAACAGTAGTCTTGTGGGTGTTTTCCTCACATTTTCAACGCACATACAAACATGCATCCATACATTCACCCACCCATCCGTCCTTGAATTTTGTATCAGGGAAAAATGTCAACATCAAATAATTTCAGCCAAAGGATTTGGAAGTAAGTAAGAAATGTTATTTTCATTTCAGCTATAAAATTATAAGATTATGAAATGATTAGATCTTATTTTCAAACATCTGAATCATAAATTCCTTATTAACAAGAGCAGAGAAAATATAAAAAAAAGGTTATAGAAAATTGAAAATATTCAAAAGAATGACTGTAAAAATTATGATGTGTGTCCTAAGAGAATCATAGCATGTTAGTATAAAAGCAGTCCAGATCTCATTTCATTAAACCTCCCTTCCCATTTTACAGATAAGAAAAGGCTCAAAGTGTTTAAATGACTTGCCAACAGGTCATCCAGTCAGTTCACATTACTAATTCTGCATAAGCACACAGCCTTGATTTGACTGGTTTACAGTATTAAAACCAACCAACTAACCAACTGGCTGACTGACCCATTGCCCTGGAGTTGATTCTGTTAAGTTGATTTAGACTCATGGCAATCCCATGTGTTACAGAGTAGAACTGTTTCATAATGTTTTCTTGGCTGTAATCATTATGGATTCAGATTGCCAGGTCTTCTTTCGTGGCACTGCTGGGTGGGTTGGAACCACAAGCCTTTAGGTTAGCAGTCAAATGCAAACAATTTGTGCCACCCAGGGACAGTGTTATCTTTCAGTTTTCATTAGGATACAACTGAGTTCGTATTTCTTTTAAAAATTTTCTCCATATTATAAAAGAGATAAAGCTTATTGTAGAAAAAAAAAATACAGATGAGCAAAAAGAAGGAAATAAAAACTCTACCCAATTAATACTTTACATTTTGAATCTTCTTAATTTTATTCTCACTGAGTAACCTTATCTTGAGGTACTGGGGAAAATCTTAAAACAAAACAAAAAAAAAAAACAAACTCAAACTTGAGTTGATTCTGACTCATGGTGACCCTATAGGACAGAGGAGAACTGCCCCATAAGGTTTCCAAGAACAGCTGGTGGATTTGAACTGCCAACCTTTTGGTTAGCAGCTGAGTTCTTAAACACTGTGCCACCAGGGCTCAAAAATCTTAATGGTACAAAACAACATGATGATAAACAGGAAAAGACTGAAGTTGTCAAGGATTTCATTTTATTTGGATCCACATCCAACACCCATGAAAGCAGCAGTCAAGAAATCAAAAGACGCATTGCATTGGGTAAATCTGCTGCAAAAGACCTCTTTGAAGTATTAAAAAGTAAAGATGTCACCTTGAAGACTAAGGTGCACCTGAACCCAAACCATGGTGTTTCGAATTGCCTCATATGCATGCAGAAGCTGGACAATGAATAAGGAAGACTGAAGAAGAACTGACACCTTTGTTCCATAGATACAGCCAAACTCCCTGAGGGACCCATGGTCTCAGGGAACATCTAGCTCAACTGGCATAACATAGTTTATAAAGAAAATGTTCTACATTCTACTTTGGTGAGTAGTGTCTGGGGTCTTAAAAGCTTGTGAGAGGCCATCTAAGATGCTCCACTGGTCTCACCCCATCTGGAGCAAGGGAGAATGAAGAAAACCAAAGACACTAGGGAAAGATTAGTCTAAAGGACTAATGGACCACAACTACCACAGCCTCCACCAGACTGAGTCCAGTACAACCAGATGGTGCCCGGCTACCACCACTGACTGCTCTGACAGGGATCACAATAGAGGGCCCTGGATAGCACTGGAGAAAAATGCAGAACAAAATCCTGACTCACAAGAAAAGACCAGACTTACTAGTCTAACAAAGACTGGAGAAAGCCCAAGAGTAAGGTCCCCAGACACCCTTTTAGCTCAGTAATGAAGTCATCCTGAGGTTCTCCCTTCAGCTAAAGATTATACAAGCCCATAAACAAAATGACACTAAAGGGGCACACTAGTCCAGGGGCAAGGACTAGAAGGCAGGAGGGGACAGCAAAGCTGGTAATAGGTTGAGAAGTGTTGGTAACCAATGTCACAAAACAATATGCGTACTAATTGTTTAATGAGAAGCTAGTTTGTTCTGTAAACCTTCATCTAAAGTACAATTAAACAACAACAACAAAAAAAATTGATGCCTTTGAATTATGGTGTTGGCGAAGAATATCAGACATACTATGCCAGAACGCTTCTTCGAAGCAAGGATGGCGAGACTACGTCTTACATACTTTGGACATGTTATCAGGAAGGATCAGTTCCTGGAGAAGGACATCATGCTTGGTAAAGTAGAGGGTCAGTGAAAAAGAGGAAGACCTTCAATGAGATGGACTGACACAGTGGCTGCAACAATGGGCTCAAGCATAACAATGATTGTGAGGATGGTGCAGGACCAGGCAGTGTCTCATGTTGTACACAGGGTCACTATGAGTCAGAATCGACTCGATGGCACCTAACAACAACAACTTAAGTACTGGAGACAGGTAGTATTTCCAAAATGAGATTCAGGTTTCCAAGCTAAAGTCAGAAATGTAGGAGGGTCAGGGTCAGAAGGAGAAGTTTACTGACTGAAACAGAGTAGGGTCAGAAAAGTAGATCAGAGAGTGCTGATAGGCTTTAAGTATCTGATTGTATTCTGTGGTTTTCATCTGACCCTACTTTTCACGTTAATGTCGGTATATTCAGCCTGAATTCTTCGTATAGATTATAACATAATAGACATATGGTAGTGTCTGCCATAATCTCAGCCTCCTTTCTAGGGAAAGCTTTCATAGCCACAGTCCATCTGAATAAATAGCACTAGGCAGCTATATCTGCTCAATAGCCACAGTTGCTGATAGAGGTGGTGGAGATGCGGAAGGTGATGGGGCAGCACATGACTCAAGGGCAGCTATTCAAAAGGCTGGCTAAAAACCTTAAGAAATCTTGTCCCACATAGGAGTATCATGCAACAAGGATAAGCTGCACCAGTTAGATTCTTGCTCTTGGAAAATAAAGGGAGAATTAGGTTATAAGAGTACATAAAGAAAGGGTGCACAGAAACATGTCTCAAAGGGCTCTGAGCAAGGTAAAGTTATGAGGAAGTAGAAACTATGAGTAAGCAGAACTAGGAGAGAAACATACACACAAAGAAAAGCTGATGTACCACTAGAGGAAAACATCCATGCACTCAGCTGCTGAAGTCCCTAAAGCTGTTTAGTACCCAGGTTGGTCAATCTAGGCTTCCTGTTCCCCATCCTGTCAGCTCAGTCTCCATTAGTGCCACATGCGTCTTTACAGCAATGACCTCTTACTTCATCTACACTGTAACTCTCTGTCATTAAAAAAAAAAAAGAAAAAAAAGAGGCTGAATTATATGATCACCAAGAAATCTCTCGAATCTCACTGATCTTGAGTAGCATTATCCGAATGTATAATGAAATGGCTTAGATCAGAAGTTCCCATACTTGACTGATTATTATAACTATAACTATGTGGGGAGTTAAAAAAAATCAGATTCTGGGGACTCACTGAATCAGAATATCTTAGAGGAAATCTTTCTGGTTTTGAGTCTGTATGTTCAGAAGGTAAAAATCATGTTTTTTTTTTTCCCCCCGAGAAATGAAAGCATTGTTGGGAAACCATTTTAAAGAAAAGTAAAATATTTAATGTTACTCCTTCTTTGATACTGTTGCCTTTTAATTCCCATTCTTATTACTTGTTAAAGTATATTATTTTTAATATTCCATAATTTATCTACTTTTCATCCAAAATTTTCTAGTTTCTTTTTCTTTGCCTAATTTCTGTGCAATAATTTCAGTCTACCTTAATATGATTGGTTTTACAATTTATGAAGAAACTCTTAGGGCAAAATATACTATTTTATAAATGAAAGGAGGCAGGTGATATTTTGCATCCCTTTTATTCTTATGTAAATTATATAAAATGGCTTTCTGATTTCCCTATAAGTAGTCACCAGAGAGTTCGGGGAGGTAAGCTCTAGATTTAGGGTAATTTCTGGGTAACTCCTTTATGTGAACTGAAAACATAAGACCCAAACATGAGCTGTAAGACAGAAATATAAATATTCATAAAATGGATTAATACAGATAATCTTTCAATGCCCCCTTATAAACCTATTAAAATTAGTTTGAAACCAACATGAATGCAATTTAAGAGATTTAAGTAAAATATATTTAGTGAAAGTCAGAGATATTATAATTCTAAGCTTTTTTTTTTTTTTTTTTAAATACTTACAAAGAGTGTTGGTTTAGGTATGAATATATTGTCTTCATGTTCTTTAGGCACATCCAAAGTCTGTGATTTCTGATTTTCTGTCACGGTTTTTGAATCCTTTTTAGTAAGAAGTAAGCTGCCCTCATGATGCTTAGTATGCATATTAACAAGAATCTGTTTCATTGCTGCTAATTCCTGTTGGTATAAGAAAACAGAAGAAAATGACAAGCATGATTTTAGCAAGCGAGCTGATACAGATTGGTTAAAATGTATTTTTATTCTTGAAGTAGAAGAAGCATCTGAAGCAATTACACTACATAAAAGAGGGAAGTTGTGAAAATAACAAAATATTAATGTGCAATAGTGATGCATATAAATCTTCTAATCATTAATAGCCTTTAATATGATAAATGACAACCATAACATTAGTCTAGTGGTCCCAAACTTGTCTGCACATTGGGATCACCTGAAGCCTGTGTCGCATCCCTGAGACTGTGACATAAGTGGTCTGAAGTACGGCCTGGGCTTTGGAATTTTTTAGTGATCCCCAGGTGATTCTAATGAACAAACTTGAAAACCACTGGCATTGCCAGTTTCCACTGCAGTTTTTCTACACGATCGTTGAGTAGATTATTTAGGCACTTAACTTTTTCTCTTCTCCTTAAACTATCCCATTTCCTTACGAAGTCTTAGAAAAAGGATGATAGGGATAAAAGGTCCGAATTGTTTTTTCTTGGCTATGAATCAGCATTTCAAACAATAAATTTAATATAGTTTCAGGATTCCTTTAACCACGTTATCTCCTCCCTTTTACAAATGATAATCGAAGTTGATTTTATCAATTACCTTTTTGAACTAAGAATTAATTATGCTGAACTTCTTGAAGAATTCAGATTAAAAACTTCTACTCATTCCTTCTTCCAAGTCTGTTTTGTCTATTATTTTCCCCCGTAGTCAAACCTTTAGCACCTAATGCTACTAAGTGGATATTTACGATTAACTACTAAACAAATTCAACCAAACACAAATAAATGGAGAGATGACAGACTAAACTCTCCTTTACCTTATTTATCTGTAGAACAGTGGCAGGCTGTGTTGGAGGTAATTTTTTTTCCTATTATTTTATTTCATCCTCATGTCAAGAGACAAAAGCTATGGCTGATAGATGTTCAGCTCCCTTCTACTAATCTGTTTATAGACATCAGAGCAAGTTCCTACAGGCCCTTCTTTTCTGGCAGTCATTAGTTCTATTTAGAACCATCTACCCTGAGTGGGTATTTTAAAACAGAGCTGCTGAATTTAAGCCACATAGCCTTAATAGATCTTAGGGACAGGAGAGGAGCTGGAAGAAATGCTGCCAGAATCCTCTTTCTCTTTTTTGGGGCTGGGGCTGGCCTGGTGAGTTCACATGAGATATTACCAATCTGATACACATTATTTGAGCCTTTTAGGGGCTCTTTTTGTTTTCAAGATTGTGTTATTCCATTTATAAGCTCCTCTAGTACATAACAACTGATTTAATGTTAAATATGTCTGGTAGATTTCAGCTCCATTCTACTTGCCAAGATAAGGAGAAGGGAAAGGGGAGATGACAGTCTCCCAGCCTACCAAGAGAACAACTTTCTATCTGAAAGAACATCTTTCTATTAGCCATAATTTTTGTCTCCTGGCCTGAAGATGAGGTAAAATAACAGGAAAAAATTATCTCCAACACAGCCTACCACTATGCTACTGATAAGTAAGTAAAGGAGAGTTTAGTTTGTCATACTTGCTGGGGGAAGGGAGAGGGGAAGAAATGAGGACGGAGAAAAGGAAGGAGCTGAGGGTGCAGTAGGCAAAGGGCTTTGGTCCCCAAATGTCCTAGATGAGTCCACAAATTTTGTTTTCTCTTTGGCTTCCCTCTGTTACAGGTATTGGAGCAGTTACAGGAAACAGAACATCCTTGACACAGGTCAGGAGATAGCTAAGGAAAACTGACATAGCTTTGGCTTACCCAGACCTAGGATCACCCTAATTTGAGGTGTTATCACAGCGCTACTTTTGTTCACCAAACAGTATAAACAGTGGCACCACGGTTTTGGAAATTCGAGTGAAGACCATTTTAAAAGTGTTGAATAGTGTCCCCCCCAACTCATGTCCACCTGGAAATTCAGAATGTGACCTTATCTGGAAACAGTCTTTGCAGTTGTAATTAATTAAGCTAAAATGAGGTCACTCTGGATTAGCATGGCCCCTAAATCCAATGACTGGTGTTCTTATAAGAAGGCCAAGTAGAGACACAGATACACAAAGGGAGAAGACGGCCATTTGAATATGGAGGCAGAATTAGAGTGATGTTGCCACAAGCCAAGGGATGCCAGGAGCCACCAGAAGCTGGAAGAGTCAAGGAAGGACTCTTCTCTAGAGTCTTCAGAGGGAGCACAACCTTCCCTCCATCTTGATTTGAACTTCTAGCCTTCAGAACTAAGAGAGAATAAATTTCTGTTGTTCAAAGTCACCCAGTTGATAGTACTTTGTTATGGCAGCCCCAGGAAACTGATACAAACAGCAATAAAATTCTGTAAAATTCCTATTAGAATAATATAGTTACAATGGGTACAATAACATTTAAAACAATTTTGTTCAGTTTTGTTATGTTTGATTTAAATGATGATCTCTTTTATATCAACGGTAAATGAGAACTAAAAAAATCCCACTGTAACATCAAATAGTATCTCTACAATATCATCATAAACTTATCATACATACGCCAAGCACATGCAGTAGAAATATTTTAGTATTAGGCTAGAAGTTAAACACACCTCTATTTCTTTCAAAAAAAAATTTTTTTTATTGTACTTTAGATGAAGGTTTACAGAATAGTTTCTCATTAAACAGTTAGTACACACATTGTTTTATGACAATGGTTAACAACCCCACGACATGTCAACACTCTCCCTTCTCAACCTTGGGTTCCCTATTAACAGCTTTCCTGTCCCCTCCTGCCTTCTAGTCCTTGTCCTTGAGTTGTTGTGCCCCATTCGTCTCATTTTGTTGTATGGGGCTGTCTCATCTTCAGCTGAAGGGTGAACCTCGGGAGTGACTTCATTACTGAGCTAAAAGGGTGTCCGGGGGCCATACTCTCAGGGTTTCTCCAGTCTCTGTCAGGCCAGTAAGTCTGGTCTTTTTTTGAGAATTTTGTTCTACATTTTTGTCCAGCTCTGTCCAGGACCCTCTGTTGTGATCCTGGTCAGAGTAGTCAGTGGTCATAGTCGGGAACCATCTAGTTGTACTGGACTCAGTCTGGTGGAGGCTGGGGTAGTTGTGGTCATTAGTCCTTTGGACTAATCTTTCCCTTGTATCTTGTTTTCTTCATGCTCCCTTGCTCCCGAAGGGGTGAGGCTAGTGGAGTATCTTAGATGGCTGCTCACAGGCTTTTCAGATGCCAGATGCTACTCACCAAGGTAGAATGTAGAACATTTTCTTTATAAACTATGTTATGCCAGTTGAGCTAGATGGTCCCCACAGCCCTCTGCCCAGCAATTTGGTCCCTCAGGGAGTTTGGATAAAACACATGCCTATTTCTGACTCTAGTATTGATTGTGCAAATTCAGGAAACCTATTCTGGTTCAATCAGCTTCAGTTTCCTAACTGATAAAATGTATGCTTGTGTTACCTTCTGGGATTTTTGCCATTCTGATAAGCATCTGGGTATGTTTAATTTACATTTCTTCTATAGTTAGGTTGAACAGCTTTTCATATATTTAAGGTTATTTCCTTTTCTGTGACTATCCTTGGCCTGTTTTTGTACTGGGTTATTGGTCATTTTACTAATTTCAGGACCTCTTTATACACTAGGAAAATTAGCCCTTTGTGATATGAGTGGCAAATATTTTCCAATTTATCTTTGACTTTGTTTATGCTTTTTTGTTTTATTCTGCTATGTAGAACATACTGGTTCTGATACAGCTGAATGTGTCAGTCTTTTCTTTAATGGCTTCTTTTATGGTCTTCTCTATGTTTTCTTCTTCCATCTTCCCTCAAGTTACTTTTATGGTTTCTTTTTCAAACATTTAAATCTTTCATCTGTTTAAAGTTTAGCCTGGTTTATGGTGAAAGGTATGGATCCAACATCTCTCTCCTGCCCCCTACTCCCTGCCCAAGATGGCTATCCTGTAGTAACAATACCATATACTGAAGACACCATTTTTCTCTCACTGATTTGAGATGCTATCTTTATCATATACTAAACTTTTGTAAGTATATACTCTATTTCTGGACTTTTAGGCTCTGTTCCAATGATCTGTTTATGCATACACCAATGTCACATTGTTTTAGTGTTTAATTACTGAAATATTTTTCTGGCTATATGCTTGGGGATTGGAGTAGGATTATGCTGAATTAAAAAAAATATAGCAAGAACTGGTTTCTTTGTGATGTTGAGTCTTTCTAACTATGAAAATATTTTTATACATTGTCTTAGTCATCTAGTGCTGCTCCAACAGAAATACCACGAGTGGATGGTTTTAACAAACAGAAATTTATTCTCTCACAGTCCAATAGGCTACAAGTTCAAATTCAGGGCTTCAGCCCCAGGGGAACGCCTTCTCCGTTGGCTCTGCAGGGAGGTCCATGTCATTAGCCTTCCCTTGGTCTGCCAGCCTCTCTGCACAGGAACCTCAGGTCTAAAGGACGTGCTCTGCTCCCGGCACTGCTTTCTTGGTGGTATGAGGTTCCCGTGTGTCTCTGCTTGCTTCTCTATTTTATATCTCAAAAGAGATTGGATTAAGACACTATCTAATCTTATAAACCTCATCAGCATAACCTCATCATAGTAATAGAATTTACAACATATAAGGAGATCACATATAAACCTCATCATAGTGATAGAGTTCACAACACATAAGGAAATCACATCAGATTACACAATCATACAATACTGGGAATCATGACCTAGCCAAGTTGCTACACAGATTTTTTTGGGGACACAATTCAATCCATGACATACATCTTTTTCTATATTTTTGGCATATATTGTCCTGCCCTGTCTTAGTTACCTAGTGCTGCTATAACAGAAATACCACAAGTGGATGGCTTTAACAAACAGAAATTTATTCTCTCACAGTCTAGGAGGCTAGAAGTTCGAATTCAGCGTGCCAGCTCCAGGGCAAGGCTTTTTCTCTCTCTGTCGGCTCCGGGTCAAGGTCTTGTCATCA